AAATAAAACCTTTTTCATCTTAGTCTTCTAGAACTGCATTCAATTATGCTACCACAATTTCCTACTCTGTCTTATGTAATAGGAAGAATGTCATCAAGTTCCTATTCAGAAGATTGCAAATGTCTTACTTGTTTAAGAAATAAGATGTGAGCCTTATATATTTCTTATCTATAGAAAGATTCCCTTAGTTTAAGTCAAAGCTCTAGCATTTACAAGGTGGATAACCCTGAGGAAGTTCTCTAACATTTCCGGACCTCAAAGTCCTTACCTGTAAAATGGAAATAATACTGTCCATTTTGCTATCTTATGCTGTAATGACATCTGTCTATCTGTCTGTCTGTCTCTTTCTCTCTCTCTCTAAGATTGCACAATCAAAATTAACTCTTTGTAATATTCATTTAGATTTCTAATAAGGTAGACATGATACACCATGATGAAGATATATCCCAAGTAGAATTTTGGCTTCAATTATACAACCTTCTGGATACACACTTAATAAAAAACCAGTAACAATCATATATAGTTCTGTTGATCTAATGGTGCTGAATGTTTGCTGGAAGCAAGAATTGGATCTGGAATATAAAAATTATTCACCCTTAGTTATTCCTCTGGATAGTAACATAAAATTTAAAAGAGAAATTCCCAATATTCACAACTTATGCACATGGCATAATACTGTGCAATGGCCATAAGTAATGGGCTTAGGTTGCCCCAAATTGGATAGGAGTGGTCCAGATACTCATGATCTCCTTCCTAAAAAGGTGATTTGAACAGCACATGTTTGAAAATGTTATCTATTTTTTATTCATTAAGTTTATTGGTACATTTTAGAAATACAATATGATGACATTCATCATCGGGAATTTGTACCTTTACATGATATATCTTGGTTCTTATTTTTTCCCCATTCCCCTGCCTTCCCTTCAACCCCTCCACTCCTCACTATTTACAAAGACTTTGTTTCCATTTTTTCCTGTTCTCATATTTATTCCTTTCTCTTCCCATACTCCTCCCACTTCCCCTTCCCCTTTGGGCCTTATCTTCCTATTTCACATTATCTATTCTACATTTTGATCCTTATTTGCACTTTCAGGTTCTCACACCAGAGAAACTATTCAGTATTTATACGTGTGCCCTATTTATTTCACTTAAGAGTATGGCCTCAATGTGCATCCATTTAGCTATAAATGTCTCTAGTTTCTTGTTCTTTATGGCTGAGTAGTACTCCATTTTACAAAAAAACACATCTTCTTTATCTAGTCTCCAGTTGATGGGCATTTGGGTTGTTTCCAAGGTTTAGCTATTACAAACTATGCCACTATAAACATGGGTGTACATATATCATTGTGGTATGATTCTTTTCATTCTTTAGGGAAGATACCCAGCAGGGGAATAGCTGGGTCAAATGGGACCTCTAATCCTAGTACTTCGATGTATCTCCATACTGATTTCCACAGCAAGAGAAACCACCAACAGAGTGAAAAGACAACCCACAATGTGGGAAAATTTTTTTACCAGCTGCCTCTCAGACAAAGGTCTACTATCTAGAATATATAAAGAACTTATAAAAATCAGACCTCCCAAATTGAAAGATCCAATCCAAAAATGGGCATCTAAAACGAACAGATGAAGAAGTAGAAACGGCAAATAAACATATGAAAAAATGTTCAACATCACTGGTCATTTGAGAGATGCAGATGAAAACAACACTGAGTTTCTACCTCACTGCAGAAAGAATGGCTGCTATCAAGAAATCAACCAAGAACAAATGCTAGCGGGGGTATGGTAAAAAGGATGCCTTCTCCACTGTTGCTGGGGGTGTAGACTGGTGCAACCACTGTGGAAATCAGTATGAAAATGTTATCTCTTGCATATCCAAGTTCTTCATGTGTCACCAAATAAGGAGGAAAGAAAACTTACATAGAAAGAAGATGTCTATATATTCAACAACAACCTGCTGTGTCTAAGAAATGTAGGAATTACTGTTTTGCCATTCCTTAGAAAGTTCATTGCTGTCCTCTACTTGACCCAGACTGTTCCTAACCATAAAAACCAGACAAATAGAAGAGTCTGGTGTCTTAAATCAACTCTATTATCTTGTTTTGGTAGAAAGCACCAATAATGGGAAAAAAATCCTGAAATTTTAAAATTAGGAAAATATTCAAGAAATTATCATGTTTAATATTTTTTGAGAAAAGGTCTTCTTATGTAGCCCAGGCTGGCCTGGAACTCACAGAGATCCTCCTGCCTCAGCCTCACAAGTGCTGGGATTACAGGCATATATCACCTTGCACAGCATCATTTTAATATTATTATAAATATTTTATTATCCGAAGAATTAGCATTTGTTGTTCTGACTTTGAATGGCTGCTTCAATAATTCATATCCCCAAGCCCCAAGAATTATGCCATTGCTACAACAGCAAGATTTCAAGGTCTTTTGCTTTTCTTTTTATCTGACGATCCTGGGTGCCACCCTCTCTCTGTTTGAGTAACTCCCACCTCTGGTGGGTCATGTGTGGTGCAGATGCTTGTTGAGGGCATGAAAACATCCACTGATTCACTAAGTTTACAAAGTGACTCAAAACAAGAGTCCTCATCCAAATGGCAGAGGGAAATTAGTTAAAGGGAAGACAGATTCTTGAACTGCACAGACATTCAAGGTGTGCTTGACATATGTCACTGATATTCAAGCACATCCTATTTGTCCTGGCCCGGGCCACAATGGAAGATGGACTTTCACAGAGGTTCAGTTACAGTGAAAGACCTGAGTGATTTCACAGAAAGAGGCATGGGAAGATGTTAAAAAAAGAAAAAGTGACATTTTAAAGACTTTATAAGTTGAGTCTCCTGTTCACCAGCCTTGATAGTGTTCCTTTAAAAATCAGCACCTCACCTCTGGTGATTTTCAAAATCACACTTCTTTGAACACCTAGAAATCTTCTATTTTTAGCCTGATGGATGGAATAGATTAAAGAAGAACAGCATCTGTAAAGATGAACTGCTCAAAAACATCACTAAATTACTTTTGGAGAAAGTGAACAAAAAAAGCTTTAAACGTCACAGGAAAATTGTAATATAATTGGGTTGAAATTTAGGTTGCTTTGACTTAAATCTTGAGCAAGGCCTTTTTGTCTCACTATTAGCTGGATAATCATTTCAGTTACTTCTGAGGTTCTTACAAGAACACTGACATATAATCTAAACAGCCCTTTGGATGTATTACAATATTTCTGTATAAGTACATTACTCTTGGCTTTTTGGAGGTAATATTTCTGTAAAGAGATTTAAAACTTATAGATTGGTATTTTTTGAGAATTTTAGATTTAACTTTCCCTGAGATGGACCCATGAGAATTCCTAAGTTCTTGTCATATGACGGTTGAAGAAAAAAATAATTCAGATCTGAAGAGAAAAAAAAATGTGCCTATTCAAACAAAATAAACCAAATTTAATACAGTTTTACTCATTCTAGTTTTCTCTTCATTGTTCCAAATTTTTAATTGAAATTTTAAAATAAAATGTTTTATTATTCAGCCAGACAATGTTTTTTGTTTTTCCAGGCAACCAACAGCAATAACAATAGCCTAGTTCTATGGAATAGCTCTTCTCTGATTTGATTAAACCCATATGGGAATTGTTGGTAAGTGCTACATTCCAAGGTGTAGCAGAGGCCACAGAATCACCAAGAAGTCTTCAAAACTAGGAACACCAACCTGGCTCATTCTTGGTCCCAGTTTGATTCTGGTCCAGCCAGCCTCTACAGTTCCCCTCTGTATTCCCAAGGGCCAGCCAGCAGCAATAGGAACTAAGGAAAACTTGTCAGATCAGGCACTGAGGGCTTGTCTTACTATGGCCCCCAAAATTGCCCAGGGCTTGCCTTGGTGCCTACAACTTCCCAGACGATCCTTGTCCCCTTCTTCTTTCTAAGTCAATTTCAAATTTCACATTATAAAATCTGCTGTAATTACAGGCAACATCTGATACATTTTTCTCAATTATACTTATGGTACACCAATCAATCTAGCATATCCTTCTCTAAGTAGCAACTTTCCTGTACTTTATCATGTGGTTTTCCTCAGTGGATACAATTTGACTCTTAAGTCATGGCATCAAGGCTGAGATTCTTCAGGTATTCCTCATTCCTTGTTTCCTCTTTGTCGCTCAAGCCTGGCTCACTCTCTCTCTCTCCTGTCTCCCAATTCTCTTCAGATCCATTGCCTCCCTGCAGATTGAAACTTTCTACAGAAGACTCTCTTGTTTTACTGCTCCATTCATCCCTTTGCTCTTAGTGTTCTTTGTCACTTTGTTTTCCAGCCACATCTCTACTGCACGATCAGCCCAAGTCTTGTACTTAAACAGAGCCATCAAAACGTATCACCAGAGCTCAGGTTCAACTCTCTCACATTCCATAGTAAGAATGAACTGTGGACCCTACTGAGTGAACCTGTATGATTTTATTTGGACATTGGAATGTAAGCAGGAATAATGTTTGCCACTGTAAGGTAGACACTCTTAAAAGTTAGCATATACTTCCCCGAGTTTTCTTCTCCTTGACATGGCAAGAGTACAAAAGATGCAACCTCTGTCATCAAGGGGACAATGTGGAAGGCCTCCTACTGATGGGTGTGTGACAGAGCTATGAAGCAGCTAAGTGTCACTTAGACCACTGAGATCCTATGTATTAGAGAAGCATAATTTAACGCAGTAAAACACTGAAATTGACTGTATACCCCTCCACTGTGTGCCCATAGTATCATTTTACTTCTGTCTCAACATGTATCCAAATGCATTTACCAGCTGTGTGTAAATTCCACAGGTATGTGGCTCATCTATATATCTTTTCTACCTCCCACAGTGTTTGGAATATCACATCCCTTCAAAAGACACATCCTGAAAGAATGAATAAAAACTGCCCATCTCATGGTGAATGTAATTTGGCATTAGCACTGGCATACTTGAAGTTCTGCCCAACCCACTATGATAACCATTATTTACTCACAGTTATGGCAGGTGGCACCAGTGTAACCTGTGTCACTGCAATTGCAGTAGAAGGTCGTCCAGGACTGGGAGCAGCTTCCACCATGTTCACAATAGTTTGGTAAACACCTAATTGGAGATAAGGCAAAGCAAAATAAAGCAAATCCATTCAAATAAGGAGAAAGGCAAAAATATTTTAGGCTCAACTGTATGAACTAATAATAGAAATTGATCTACTATATTTCTATGCCTAAGTCAAAGTTATACACGAAACGAAAATGATCCTAAGGTCTAACTACAGAGATGGATCCCTCTGGTATCACCAGGTGGTGGAGGTCTCAGACCTCAGCAGGCATCTGAGTTAAGGGTTGCAGTGCTGCAACAAATACGTATGGAAAATAAAGTTCAAATGAAGTGGTCAGGATCCATAGTTTTTTCATTAATCATAGAAATAAAGATTATAATTTTATATTTTGGAAAATTTTTGAATATTTAAAAGAAAGAGGGAGAGTCAGATAAATGAAGTTACATCTACATGCTTATTTCTGGGAAATGAGGAGGAAAAAACAATTTAAACTACACAACCTGAAACGTGAAAAGGTGATGGCAGTCTGCATTATATGGAAGAACGTTTCTGTTTGTTTAAAGTGCTGCTGGTAGGGTGGTGCAGGAGGAGTTCAGGCTAGCTGGGACAATTTAAGGAGACAAAATCCTAAAATAAGATATACTAGGTGCTGATAATGTGTTAGAAATCTTGCTTAACATGCACAAGTTCCTGGGTTCAGTCTTCAGTACAAAAAATAAGTGCCAATGCCATCCTCAAAGATAGACTTTACCGTATGTACTTTCCAGAAACTATTTTTATAACATATATTAAAAATTCTTTAACATTTGTATAATTTGAGTCAGCAATCATTCTTAGATGGTGTGATCTTATGGATATTGTTCAAAATATGAAAACTATATATACTAATTCCTGGAAAGTGTCCAACATTAGAATATTACATAGGAAAAATTACAAAATTAATGAACTATGATGGAACTGGTATGTACAATATACATAAAAAGCACTATAAAAGATCAGGACATGATTAGGTGAAAGTTCAAAATATAAGCAGGGCCATAAAATGAAAAACAAGAACTGAATAAATTTCAAAAAGGGTGAGATGGAAATATATTAGAAGTTACTTGGGCCACTGGCAAGGCAAGCAAAGTTCATTTCTGCTATGTAAAGCATGGACTTTACAGACATGCATGTTGGCTCACACCCCAGATCAGCAGCTCACTGCATGGTAATTTGCACTTTGTACACACCTGGGTTAACATTGTGACAGTACTTCCCCTAACAGGTGACCTGGCAAAAGCTCAACTGCCATAATGGATAAAGTTAAGGGAAAACCAGCGATAACAACTGGAACTTTTGAAACCAATCTTTACATGGAGTCCGAGAGTGCAAAGGGAAAAAAATTCACAAACTTAAATAGGCAGAGAAAGCAAATAATGAGTTTATCAAAGTGGTAAACCACAAGAAATAGGTTCATTGTGGAGCCACTGAGAATCTGAGGCCAGCAAAACTATAAACTGGTTTACTCTAAATGTTCTCCATAGGTAGGAAACCCTCTAGCAATGACTACTTCAAATCTCAGACAGTAATATTCCTGCCTATGTTCAGACTTATTACTAGAGATTTTCTGCTCAGCACAGCAAACATGTGATTGTGCTGACAGGGCTTGTATTCAGAGAAAGCTTGTTGATAGCTTCATGGGGCCTAACTGTGGCTTAAAGAACAGGGGCATAAAAAAGAACTTAAGAATTTTGCTGTGGGATGTGCTCACCAAAACCAACCAAACAAGAAAGAAAAGAAAAAGTGGTTCTCTCCTTTCTCCAAATCCCATAGCTCTTCTTGATAGTCACCAACGCTTCTCTCAGTGGAGAGAAAAGGGAGCAGGCCTGTCACTAACATGGTTGGAGTCCTTGTTCTCCACCAATGCTATGCTGTGGGGGAAGCAACATCAACTTGGCCCAACTGTGCTTGTCAACAAAATTCAGCTAAAGGGCTCTCCTTCTGGACATGTCCTGTAGGAATCTTGTGGAGCTGGCATAGTTCATCTGCCCCGTTTCATTTGCATCCTGGCTGTTCCTTGATTCTGAATACCACTTACCCAGCAGTTTACCTTTCACCTTATTTCTTTTCCTCTAAGGCTGACAATTTTTTTTTGCTTAAATTGTTTTATTGGCATATTTTAGGTATACAATATGTTTACATTTATTGTTGGGTGCTTGTACCTGTACATGATGTATCTTGGTTCTTACCTTTTCTCATTCCCTGTGCCCCTTCCCTATTTACAAAGACTTTATTTCCATTTTTCCCTTTTCTCATAATTTTTCCTTTCCCTTCTTTTCTTTCCCTTTCCCTTCTCACTTCCCCTACCCCTTTGGACCTTTTCTTCCTATTTCAAATTATCAATTATTCATTTTAATCATTTTAATCCTTATTTACACTTTGAGTTTTTCACACTAGAGAAACTATTCGGTATTTACACATGTGCCCTATTTATTTCATTTAAGAGTATGGCCTCAATGTGCATCCATTTAGCTATGAATGTCTCTAGTTTCTCATTCTTTATGGCTCAGTAGTACTCCATTTTATTTTAAAAACTTACATCTTTTTTATCCAGTTTCCAGTTGATGGGCACTTGGGCCGTTTCCAAGCTTTAGCTATTACGAACTATGCTGCTATAAACATGGGTCCACATATATCGCTGTGGAATTCTTTTAATTCTTTTGGGAAGATACTCAGCAGGGGAATAGCTGGGTCAAATGGGACCTCTCGTCCTAGTTCTTTGAGGTATCTCCATACTGACTTCCACAGTGGTTGCACCAGTCTGCACTCCCACCAGCAGTGGAGAAGGGTTCCTTTCTCCCCACACCCTGCCAGCATTTCTAATTGGTTGATTTCTTGATAGCAGAAAGCTGCCAAATTCTTCTGTGACCTTTTTACATTATCTTTCACCCCATTCTATCCTCTCCAAATACACACAAGGATTCCATAATTAGAAAATAATTGTTATTGTCCCCCTCTGGCAACAAAACCTTTATTGCCTTAAGAATGCAAAGCTAAGCAAAAGGAGGGAGATGTTGCCCTGCAGTTCTTTGAATTTTGGCTTCAGGAAAATTCAGGGTAGTGTCTTTTTATTGACTGATATTAGAAAATTTAAAAATTCAGAAGTTTCGAGTGGCCATGGTTTCAGCCACAGGAAGAATATTGATACTGTATACCTAAAATGTACCAATAAAATTAATTTTAAAAAAGATGGAGGAAATTGCTGATTTGCAGCTCACAGAAAAGGTGAAGTGGAGAGAGTCAGGCAATATTTGCTTGTTTGGGCTCTGTTGTATTTGAGACGATCTGATGATCTGGTTGCAGCCCTACATTTCCTGAGGGCTGGCTGTTTTCACCTTTATTAGATTCTGTGAAATAAATTAAGATTTTTCCAGAAAAATCCTCATTTCACCCAGCCTGGCTAAAGTTGTGATTTTGCTGCTTTCAACCAATAGAACTTTAACATTTTGTAAGATAGCATCTTACTATCACAAAAGAAATGAAGACATACTTTTTTTCTTATAGCATGCACAATAAAATCCCTTAAAACTCAAGAGTACCAAATCTATGTGTGCACGTAGGAGGAAGATTCTTGGAGGAAGCTATCAGAAACACCAGGCATTTTGAACACATCTTTAATAAGCCTCAGACAGACCTTATATTAAAGCGTCAATAAAGTCAATTCACCACTGAAAATCTAGGCTAGAAATGCATTTGTTTATGGTCATTGAAAGAACCGATGATATATTTCTGAACGGGAAAAAGAGTACTTGGGTAAGGGAAAATCTAATATTCCTAGAATGGAAAAGAAATGAATGAGTGCTTGTAGTACTGCTTGGAGCTTGGTTCCTTTTGTTTCAAGGCACACTGTGATTACAAAAACGCGTCTGTACAGTAGACATTCAAAACAAAAGATGCATAAGCTCATTAAAAAGGTTACTTTAAAAGTATAATTTGCTGATTCTTTCATTGGTTCATTTTAACTGTTGGGTTGTTTTTTGGTTTCTTTTTTCACTCTACGTGGCATTTTTCTCTCTATGTGCATTTAAAACATGAACCCACAGAGGCAATTGCATAAAGCTCCTAAAGAGAGAGAGAGAGAGAGTTTTAAATGGGAGGATAGTCACCATCTGAACACATAAGGCATTTAATTCCAATTGCTAGGCAGTTATCACTCTGAACACCTATCTGCCGCAATCCTAATGATGTGCAGATGCATCTGGCTCTGGATAGATGTGGTTTCCTTTGGTGCACAGTGCTGCCCATGAATGTAACAGCTTTCTTCACGCTCCCCAAGAGCCCAGAGAAGCTGACACAGTGATCTGTTCAGCAAAGACTTGGGGAACATGGCAGGCACATTGCCAACTGTTTTGCCTCTGTGTGAAAGCAGGGTGCATGACCTTAAGAGAGATGACAAGAAGCATTGAAAAAGAAGGCAGAGAAAAAGTAGAAATGGAAGGAGAAAAAAAAAATGATGTTACAAGGACAGTAGTTACTATCATATGAGTATGGACAATTTTCCTTCAAATTCAAACTTCTTCCAAAGGAAAAGGATAGTTGTTATGTGGTGCTGTGGACAATGCAGGTAATAGGTGAAGGGGGAAGATTTATGCAGACACAAAGGAGACAGACAAGATGCTGCTTCAAAGACAGCAAGGGATTATTACAGGCTGACCCACTTGGAAAACTGTAAGCAGAAATTTCTGAGAATTGAAACCAGAGTGTAGTGTCAATCATCCTAGGAAGCCACTTGACACAGAGCATATTGATTTTCCATTGGCATTAGGAAGAAACAAAGGACCCCACATCTTCCTGGAGAAAGATCAGGGTGCTCACTTTCCTGTAACTTAGCTTTAACTGGTGCTGAGTAGAAGTTAGAGTGGGCAAAGCTTGGGAAAAGCCTTATGAAAGCAGCTGGATTCAAGTTAGTTCACAGGAATGAATTCTGTTTGCTTTTAATGTGGAAAGTTTTACAGCAGAAATATATTCTCTTAAATAAAAATCAGATTACTGAGTAACAAAGAAA